TATTATTTATTAGCAGCCACACGTCAAATATATTTTTATTGAAACATATTGTTTTATGTTTTATCACGTCGTGATTTCTTGAAACGTGATAACGATGAGTGTCGATGACTGACATCAATCGTTATCTTTTTCGAATATACAAGTTGTATTAAATGATATCTTTATAGTAATGTGCCAGAAACAGAAATTTTCTTTTGCTAAAAACTTGCATTTTTATTTTTACGAATATATATGTATTCAGCTTTTTATGATTTGGGCTGTACCGAGTTGAATCATAAAGTATAATATCTTTATAAGTATCTGTAATTGTTTGTTGCAAATTGAGTCAATATTACATTTTCATAACAAAAATTAATTTTACACACTTTCTTTGCTTTTTAATTCTATTTTATTTATTATATAGTTTTATTGAAAACTTTGCAAATTTTGATCTAATTTTATATTTCTTTATTTTTATTAAAAAGGATGTTTTCAGGAATCAAAATTTTTTTTGCTTTTTCTCTTTTTTACTTTTAATATATAATTTTATTATTATTTTTACTAATTAAATTTTAATGCATATTGTTTTGTTACGCATGATTATTTTTTAAATAATTTTTTACTATGAAAATGTTTTCTCTTATTTTCTCTTTTCTTTCTTTTACTTGTATTATTGTCATTAGCCGATAAGTTCCGACCTGTTCGACGGTTAGGAACTGACTAAACTGCGGCTCGAGTCACAAATGACTCAGAACTGTTCAAGAACGAAGTGTCGTTGTTGATCCTACCGAGTGGTTGCGCTTACGTCAACAGTATATCTACCGATTTCGTCAAGAATTCATTTATTGTGGAACTGAAACTCGTCACGAATGCCATGGTATATCGATTGCGGCTCTTATATGTATCTATCAATCGTAATATCAAACTTATAAGCGGCGATTAAACTAATTGTCAAAATTCTTTGTGATTTTGTTTGGACAATAATCATCTCAGTTTTTTTGCTGGTATTCCGAATCGATTTTGATAATTATTGATTTGATTGAGAGCTGCACGCTGCTGATTTTGAGACTATAACTTGCTTGTTTTATATTGTGATTGCATTTGTGATATCCTAAAAGTTATTGTATAAGAGATTCTTCGATCTGTTTTTACTGGATTCTTCAGATAAATTTGAAGTAAGTATATTTTCACTATTATTTAAAAACTATACGTTATATATTCGATATAAATTGAATATACAGTGGGTTGCCAAAATATTAGGGACAGTGCGATTTTTCTATTAATTTTGACTTTGCAAGTGCCTCTTAATAAAATTCCGTGAAGTATTTTTATTTTTAATGCTGTTCTAGTTATTCTATCTTATTTGTAAGTTCTATGTAAAGCCTGGCAATATTGACATAAAAATAACAGAAAAATTGCACTGTCCCTAATATTTTGGCAACCCACTGTATATATAATAAAAGCTTCTTATATTAAAAGATTTATTATAGTCACAATACATTAATATAGTGCTGTCCATGATTTGTAATTCTAGGTTTTAACTTGTATTAACATACTCACGACTATTGCTTTTTTGTTTTACCTTTGAGATCATAATTATGTATTTTGAATTATTTATAATATATAAGGCAACAATTTAAACTATCAATATATTATAAAGTTAACGAAAGGCTCTACACAGAGAGAGAGAGAGAGAGAGAGGGAGTGTGTGTGTGTGTGTGTGTGTGTGTGTGTGTGTGTGTGTGTAAGTCAAGCTTTTTCCGTATTTTCCACAGATATTAGAATTTAGTCCTGATTTTTATCCAAATCCAATAAAGATCTATATTTAGTGCAAAATACAATTGTACAATTATTATTATATGAAAATATTTAAAAAATAATTAAACAATATGGACGAATGCATTTATGTGTAAGTCACTTTCATAAGCTTAAAGTAAACAAATGTTTTCAGTCACGCGCTATTATTAAATTTAATAAAACGATTTAGGAGCAAAACGATAAAAGCGCAGCCAAACAAACAGTATTCCAATCAGTTAATTCGATCTATTTAAGTCGTTACTGTAGACTCGACAATCATTTCTAGTCGACTAATAAGCCTCTGTTTCACAAAGAGACTATATAGTAATACTATATTTGTAATGCTATACGAGGCTTGTAATACTAGATGTTAGTTATTACGAAGTAAGCTGATCATTTTGGATCAATTTTCTTAGTTAAATGTTTGAAGTCTTTATTTCATTATTAACATCTCTTCTTTGTTGAATTATTGTTTTCATATATTGTGTATATCTGCAGAATATTATGTTTTAATGCGACCCGGGTACGCCAAGTTTTTTCTTCATTATAAACCAGTTGACAATTTTACTCACTTTCAGTCTGTCTTATGTAAAAATACTTGGTTAATCACATTTATTTCATATCTGTTTTTGATTAAGAAGTTCAATACCTTTTTTATGTATGTACTTGGCGAATATTTTTTTCTTTTTTTAAAAACGTTTTTTTAAGGGTTTAGTAACATCATGTAGATTATATTTTATTTTATTTTAATTATTGACATATCAATATCTTTCGATTAGAAGAAGTAAAATTACACGTAGCTTGTCTTATCGCAAGTGATGTTTTTAAATAATTGAAGTGATAACACCGTGAAGGAAGTACAGTTAATGTATATCGAGAAAGAATTGTGTATGTAAATAAAATCGTTTATATAATATAGTTATAGTTCTTGAACCGATAATATAGCATAATAGAAAAGTAAATTGCGTTTTAACGATCATACAGAACCAGTCCAAAATTTTAATATTAAAAACTATTTACTTATTTAAGTGATTTGTTTGGGTTTGAGGAGTCTATTTGATCGAGTTTCACTTTAGTGGTTTCCTTTTTCAATATGGTAATTAATACTGTCGCGATTATATTGCACAACCGGCTGAAATTGTTGAAGACGTATCAATTGTAAATCGACGTGTACATACATACATACAAAGTACACGTCAGTCGTGTGTCAAAAAGTCGTTACTGCAAACTGCAGCGAGTTATCCGTAGCGGATGTGAGTCGTGATAAAGCTCGTGGATCGGAGATGTGGGAAGTCGTTCGGAAGTGGATTATTTAAACGAAACTAACGACCAAAGTATAATTGACAGATAATAGTACAAACAAATTAAAATACGAATACAATAACCTCTTGAGAGAGACATAAGATATAATACAATAAATATATGAATTATTTTATTTTTACATTCCGTGATACTAAGAAAAGATTTAAAAATCAGAGATTTAAATCGACGAAAATTTAAAGCAAACAAATGCAAATTATGCCAAAATGCAATTGTTGTTTTATTATCTTTGTCATTCCTTTTTCAACAACCGTAATAAGTACTTTGTTGTACAAATATAAAAATCATTCAGGAATATCTATTCTGCTCATTTTTGGGTTCTTTCTTTTCTTAGATAATCTGTTTTTTAATCTGCGCTATTTGTTAAGACACAACTGTGTTACTATAAATATGGGAAGATATACAATAAGAAAAATTTATACGGAAGTATTGACAAATAAAAAAAAAGTAAGAATATAGAAGATATATTTCTTCTGATTTCAAATTTGAATTTGTGTTTTTATCGAACACATGTATGTTCACTTATACGTCCTACGTACTTATAACATAAAAAAAAAATTATTGAAAAAGTATTTTTAGTAGTATATTTTTAGAAAAGTGACGTGTTGGGTAATTTTGGAGTGTTCCTATGTTCAAAATGTTATGTAATTTTGGAGTGTTCCTCAAAATGTTATGTTTAGTATATATGCCTATTTCCATTACAATGTGCGTCTTTAATTTACATTCACATTTCATGGTGCGTTATAAATGACATCGCTTTATAAATGACAAAAGCATCGTTTTAAAAAAATGTAGTTTTGCAAATATCAACTTATAAGAAAACTGTACAAAACAAATTGAAATTCCTTGAGATTCATTTTCATAAAATGCAAGCATGCTAACGTGAATAATTTCCAGATTAAATCATTCGTGCTTATTCGAATATTAAGGAAATTAAGCGCGAATTCCACGAATAATACATAAGATAGTCTTGAATTTCCTCGTGTCCGTCTGTGCGAAATTGCGCGATAATCTTATCCTTGAATAGTAGCATAGAAAATGCAGTTTAGTATCTTAACTGGAGATACTTGAAAGTATTAGACATAGTGGTGGTCATTGAATGTGGCAAATTTATGCGAGAATTGAGTAGGAGATATAATCATACATATGTATAAAAATATAACATAAAACATTAAAATAGTATATTTATACAACATAATGCATATTTAAAATTTTTTAATCTTTTTTCTCTTTGAAATAGCAATAAATATTAATGCACTATTTATATCTTGAACATACACATATTGTTTTAAGATATGCCAATGCAAAGTGCAAGCTAAGAACACATACTTTTTTTAATTTATCGACAATTACTGTTGTCCATTCAGTACGATTGTAATTATCTCACTCTGTTTTTTTTATTAATAGTCGCTGAACTGTTCGAAGGATTTGGTCGACCTACGCAAAAATCTGCATTCGAGAGGAAAGTCCATCCAATAAAGATACCCAGATTAACTGACGATCTTGATCTTTAATCATCGTTTATTTCTCAAGTTTTTAATCTGGCCACACAATTTCAAAATAGAAGCAGATAAGCACCGTTTATTCATCGAGAAAATTGCGAGAAGCACAATTTAAAATTTGATGCCAACAATGATCTATTAGTGCATTTTAAAAGAAGCGCATCCGTGAATTACAGAATTTAAGTTCGCACGAGCGATTGAAGAAAGGTTGGAGAAGAAAGATTAGAGAAGTTTCTCGAAGCTCTTGACTGTGCACGTATCGTGGAAGGAGAAGGGAACTGAAGATAGGAATCGCAGACTGGTATCATTCTCGACAAAAGTGTATCCAACGCATCGTAGGTCGTAGATTTATATAGTAAAGTCTCAAAGGAAAAAACGTTCTCGATCAAATATCGAGAGAATATCTGAACATTGAAATCGAAGTATTTTGTGGTATTAATCTAATATTTATTTTCGAATAGAATATTTTCTCAATTTCAAAGGAAGACATTGAAATCTCTCATTATTAGTATCATGTGTTCTGTGAATGATTCATTAGTAGCTGAGGTATTTTCATTTATCAACTACACATAGGCCATCGGAGAACTCATTGCGAAATCAACCGAGACAATATATATTTTTCTCCATTGCAAGAAGATTCTGTCAGTTACAAAGAAAAAGAGACGGTGCTCTATTTTATGTGATTCTTATCAGCAAGTACAACCTAGATTACTGTGATTTAAGTCGATTACTGTAAAAGGCAGGCCAATAAAGAATTCGCAGAATTAATAGAAACGATATATAGTCATTTTTAATTAGAGCGAAATAATCTCTTTTTATTTGTGAAAGAGAAAGTACGTTGAAGTTAACGCTCTGTTTTATGCGAATAATTCAACTGTAAACGAGTCGGTGCCAATCAGTAACTGTATGTACACAAATTATTCTCATGTTATATTCTGCGATTATCAACATAAAGTTTTTCTAAGTCCGAATGTTAAATTCAATCTAGAAAGAGAAGCAGCTGTTAGGTCAATTGTTCGCTCAAGAGAAACCGAAGACGAGATGGTGATAGCGATAGGGAATAAGCGAAGCAACAAAGAGTAGAAAAAGGAAAATCAGTCAGAAAGAGATAGACCGATAGAGAAAAAAAGAGAGGCATAAAAGCGACCCTACAAACCGATTTAGTAGGCGTTCACATGCTCCAAGGAAGAAATATCAAGAAAGAAGCAGGGTTTTGAATAACAAGGAAAGAATTTAAAGATAGACAAAGAAAAGAAGACAGAACAAGAAGAAAAAAAAGAGAAGAAAAATTGATAAAATTAAACAAAAAAAAAAACGAGTAAGAAGGCAGAGTAGGATCGGATCAATAGAGAGAGAAGCAAAAAGATACCCTTCTCCAAACTGGTTTTCGAAATGAATAAAATCATTCTGACGAATTCGCAAGTGGCCAAGAATGTTTTCGACGAGGAAGCTATTTTGAAGAAGGTACGATGGCGCAATCTCGTAGCCTTCTGGATCTTAGGTCTATGCAACAATTACGGCTACGTCGTGATGCTCAGTGCGGCCCATGACATTCTACAAAGCAAGTTCGGTGAGAATGTGAGTAACCATATAATTCTTGATTATCGCGCGAAGAAAGCTGGAGATTTTTCTTTAAATCTGATAAAACTTGAAATTGATGATAAACTTGAAATCTTACTATATTACATCAAATATTATGTGTGTTCTTATTAAAGAATACACATAATATTAGAATTATATAATAACTTAATAAAATATTCATAATACTTTTAATATTAAAATATAAATTGAATAATTCTCGCGTATCGTTTGTAAAAAAAATAATTATTTTAATTTATAGGATTATAATTATTTTTTGAATTAAGATTCTAACAATATATTTAAGAAATTTATACATATGAAAGTATTTCAATATAAATAATTAGGTTATCATGAAGTTATATAATTTGGAACATTTATCCTAATAAACTTTTATGTGTCAATGAAATATTTGATTACTTTTTTAAATTCAGATAAGACAGAGATGGTATAGACTATTCTTGATGGAAAAACTCTCTGAATTGGTGTACATACAGTACAATATAAGTTGAAGTGAAACAAACTATATATTTGTTTCACTTCAACTTATTACATCATGTGTAGCATTTCAAAGAATTCAAAGAATAAAGAACAGATCTATTACCTCATGGACTCATATTGTTGCCTGCTACAGATAACAATAGTTACAATAACAAAGACTGACAATAGATATCAAGTTCATCTCAGCATGTGAGAGCATAAATTATTTTACTTCATTTACAAAAGATTAACATAGCGATGATTTGTGACTTAAATTTTCGGAGATCTTTTAGTTTTACATATTTTTTCTTTCTAAATTTTGGAAATATTCTTGCGTATCATTCTTTTGTAAATTCTAAAAAAAAACTGACTAGCTTTATGAGATAATTGTGTAAAATTAATCTTTACTTATGTAATCGATCATTTTTTTATCGGATGCAGAGATATCTCTACATTTTCTTGAAAATTATTTTTTATCCATTAGTTTAGAAATTAATCGAACAACATGAGAAACAGTATTTGATAATGTGTATCATAGTAAAGCCCGCGTAAGGTATCTTATTTACAGATACACTTCACAGATATATATTGATCTAGATTTGAAAGTGCAATGTTGCAAACAAAGAACATATAAACTGTATTATTAAGAAGCTACTAGATCTGATTTACCTATTTGATAAAACACAGCGAATCTATTTATTAATTATAATTGGAGAGATTAATAATTTACCATTAATTTAACATTAAATAAAAAGTAAAAAGTTATATTTACATTTGGCCGTTTAAATATCATATTTACTCGTTTTTATATTTACGTATTTTCGTTATTTTTAATATAGAAATAAATCTCGAATATTTGTATAAAGTAACTGAACTGAAGAATTGACACAATTAATAAATACTATTAATAATAGATATTTTTTCTTTTTAAATCAGTCTTTTGCAATTGACATTTTGTTATCATTATGGATCAAAATGTCAATTGCAGTGATATTTAACTTTGTGTGAGCTGGGTCAATGGCGTGATTCGAACAGTTTATGTATCGATTTATTCTTGTCAATATATTATATATACGATCAATTTGATATATCATTAAATATTGTTAAACAATAACAAGAAAAAAGGACGCACAAAGCAAAGCCTATCACGGTCAAAGCTAGATCAAGATGCTTATTATCATTATGTGTGAATTTATATATCGCGTATGTAGTTCTCTCAATCGCGTGCCGAACATTTTTTTTCAGACTTACAACGCAACTCTAAATATATTTAGAAAAATGTTCGGCACGCGATTGAGAGAACTACATACGCGATATATAAATTCACACATAATGATAATAAGCATCTTGATCTAGCTTTGACCGTGATAGGCTTTGCTTTGTGCGTCCTTCTTTCTTGTTATTGTTTAACAATTGTACGATTCTATTATTTGATTAAATATTGTACTCGTGAAAATTCTATGGAAAATTTTCTATCGATTTGTAGACCAGTATTATAATCAGTATTATGCAAATTGTGCGTTCTAATTGATTTCATTATTCAGATTTACGTCGCAATTTAGCAATATATCTACATATATTGATAAATCCGCGCTATAATTCTCAATGGTCCGTTTCTAATAGCATAATGATTTGCCTCTTTGTCTTAAACGAGGAAAATCGTCGTACTTTAATAATTTATGTCGTCCGACCGGATTCCAGAGTGAAAAAAGTGTGTCATCGATCAAGCTACACTATAATGTTGTGCAATCAGTGTTTTTTGCGTCGTATTTATAGTCGACATGTTATGTAAACCAGACAGGTGTAACAAGAATTAATTTGTCATATGTGCAAAATATTATACTCATAAAATATTAACATTATTATTTTTAACGTTCTGTTTATTATAGTATGTAAAACAAAAATTATTTTTACATTTTGAAGCGAATACTTTTTGTAAAACAAATAAAAATTGCGAAACGAAATCTTTAATAATAAATAGTTATAAGGCTTTACAAGAGTAAAATAAATATTATAAATAAAGGGCACAGAGCCCTTTACTTATTACAGATATCTTTAATATTGTCAAAAATTTGATAAAGAAAATACTCAAATTAAATTTTTCGCAAAATCTTTTTTTTTTTCAAATACTTCTTTTAATTTTTTAATTATTTGAAATACTTTCTTTAATTTTTATTTTAAACGAATACATATTATAATATAATGACAGTTCTCAATGTTCTTATGATTTTTTTTAGAATGACACGTCAAGCCCAAATGTCACAACCACGATGGAACCATATCACAATCGGACATGCAATACAGTTTCAACCGGTGCCATTCTTTTAGCAGACATTCTGCCAGCATTGGCAATCAAAATCACGGCACCATTTCTACCATTTCTAGTGCAGTAAGTATCTTTATATTTTCTTTTTTTTTTTTATTTATTCGAATGGAACGTTATGAAGTGCACTCTTGTGCATATTAGCGTTATCCTGTAATTACTTGTCAGAATAAAGTCAGTGAGCGCACTACAAAACATATTACTTTCTACACAATTCTGCATTTTAATCTCATTAAATAATTGAAACGATAACTAAACGTGACATATGATTTATTTTTTTTTTCGCAAAACTTTTGTACTGTTTTCCAGATTTTACGCAATTTTCCTGGTATTGTGCAATTTATTGCATTAATAATATTTGAGCATTTTTCTGTAAGATTAAAATATCTTATCTTCATATCTGCAGAGATTCCACATTTGGATGCACATTATGATAAAATCATAGCTCAAAATGATTGCAATAAAAGTATAGTGCCAAGATTATTTTACATCGCGATGATTGGATGTTCTTGATAATGATGTGTGCATTCTTAATTATGTTAGTCCTAAGATAAATAGTAAGCAAATACTAAAAGTGATAAAAAAAACCCATAACACACTGGATTTAACTTAAATAACTAGCAATGTTTATTTTCTAAATGCCTTCATTTTTCATATTTTTACATATAGTGTAAAAAGTTAGTTACATCTAAATTTTTATCGTGAAAAGTAATTTTTTGAAATATTATCTAACTAATTAAATTAATAATAAATTTCTTTTATAAGACGTATACATTCTGTGGAAGAAAATTCAACATTTGTTCAAAGTGCACAAATCGCATGGAAAATTAATTGAATATGAAATCTAGCATGCACTTCGAGTGTTTCTACTTTTCAATATCTTTTTTTTCTCGATATATCTCCTTTCTTTTTTTAAAAACCTCGTTTTTTTAAAACCGGCGCACAGCGAAGCCTCGGATACCGCGTAAGTCCTTTCCGCGATTGTACAAGCAGCTGGTCGCAACCATCATTCGCTAATCGATCAATCGACTCATTAATTACAGTGCTCGACTGGCTACCTGTGTGTTATTTTCCGCTGCAGGATTCCTCATGGTGTCATTGAGTACTACCGAATGGGTCGCCATTATGGGCGTCGTCATAACATCGCTTTCCTCAGGCTTGGGTGAAGTTACTCTTCTTAGTTACAGTAACCAATTCTCCAAGTAAGTGTATATACTCCATTTGTTATTGTCATATTATAGATGCGTTATATTCATTCTCGCTCGTTTATATACATACCAGGAAACTGAAACTTCTTATAACTTCCGGCAGCAATATATAGATCATTGATTCAACAGCTTCTTGTTGCATAACAAGATTTTATATTAATTTAATTGAAATAAGTGTAATTTATATTTAAAACAGATGCATGGATAAAATGAAGGTAGACAATTTCCTTTTTAGGATATAATTTTTTATGCTTCAGAGCGTTAATTCTTTAGGAACGGCCAAAGGAATGAAAAAAGACGGAAGAAGTGTAAAATTTACACTTTGAATGTAAATATTAAAATACAAGGTAGAGTGTCGAAAGGCATTTAAAGTTTTCGACTCAAATTTACTCAATGCAGCGCATATGTGAAAGTCGGAGTTTGCCACGATGACGGGTATATTTCTAGAATTGTAGTATAAGTTAATATTTAGATAGTAATAGAGAAATAGTGATAATATAATGCGATGTCAGCGAGTTCAGATCTAGAAGTGTGCATATAAAACGTAATATACGCGCACCATATCTAGAAAAATAAAATAAAATAATACACGTTTAAAGCTTACCAGTTTGTACATAGACTTGTAATCACTTTATACTCAGGCTATGGATAACTACAGAATAGTAATTACTATACTGCGGAAGTTTATGCAAATGCATATTTTTATAGAATAGGGCTAAGCAAGTGAGACTTATATAGAAATATGTTTCGCCATTACAGCATTTCAAAAATACTTTTTTTATTTTGCATATTTTGCATATTGCATATATTTTTCATATTTTGCATATATTTTGCATATCGTATTATTTTCGATATTTTTCATACTTCTAGTATGATGAATTAAACTTGTTTACAAATTAGCTCAGTTTGGAAACAGTAGAATTGCCATTAACGGAATCAATAGGCTTAATAACTGGAGTGATTTCAAACTCTAAATGCATTCCCGGCGAATGTGGACAAAGAATATCTTCAAAACTGGACAATGTCTTAAAAAGAAACAAAAATTTCACAACCGTCTTAAAAATTTCACAAATTCTGGAAGGAGCACCAGCGGTACATCCAGTTGGGGAAGGGATTCCACAAAATCATTGGAGTAAATTTAAATATGCGCCAGTAACATCATGTGATGTAGAAAGATCATTTTCAGCATTTAAACATATTTTTTTCTGATAAACGCCATCAATTTTCACTTGATACTTTAGAGAAAACGATTGTTATTTACTACAATTTGAACTATTTCTAAAACTATTTCTTATATTGTTTCTGTATGCCTTAGTAGTTTATACACGTGTTAGTTATAGTTTCTATAATATGTTACAACAGTTTGAGTTAAAATCATATGTTATATGATATAGAAAATCATATTTAGTATTTAAATTTATATTTTTCTGATAAAGAAACACTCTCAATTTTCACTTGATAAAGTCTAGAGAACACGATTACTGCTTACTATAATTTGAATTATATCTGAAATGTGTTATGTATATCTATAACATTATGTTATAATAGTTAGAATTAAATAAAGATTAAATGTACTCTTACATATTTCCAATATTATATATTTTGCATATTTTGTGCATATATATTGCATATTTTGTGCATATATATTGCATATATATACGTTGCATATAACAGCATATAATTCCTGCATAAACTTCCGCAGTCTAGTAATTACAGTTAACCATATAATCACTAATCACTCTATTGTAAAAACGTAAGAGAACCTACACTACAGAAATTATTTGTTTGTCGTCCAAGTTGTCATTGTACTGTCATTTTAGACAAATGCAGAAGCGGAAGAGTCTCGTAATACAAACACTCGTTAGATAACGCGGAACCTATTTGTTAAATTCTAACGTCAAATTATTTGAAATGCGGAAATTGTAAGATAAGCTTATGTTAATTTTAATTTTTATTTCTTCAGTTTTCGTTTTATCAGATTTTCAGTTGCTCGGAATTTTCTTATCGTTAATTGTTATACATTTTCTCGCAGGCAAGTGATTTCGACGTGGTCATCGGGCACCGGCGGCGCTGGGGTAATCGGCGCAATATCTTACGCCGGACTTACCTTGGTACTATCTATCGAGAATACATTGTTAGTCATGTTGGCCGTGCCAATTTTGCAAGCAGTTACATTCTGGGGTATCCTCAAACACCCGACACACATTAGAATTCCGATTACCAAGAATGGCATTGACAGTCAAGAACAAATCATCAAGGTCCCCGAAAAGAGTTTTAGGGACAAGATTAATTTAGTGCCTGGCTTGTTGAAGTTTATGATACCACTTGGGCTCGTTTACTTGTTTGAATACTTCATCAATCAAGGCTTGGTAATGACATTCCGCTACAATCTTTGTATTTTTTTTTTACTATATACAGGGTGTCCCGAACTATTAATTAATATTTCAGGAAGTGAAAGAGGATGAAATTTTTAACTAAAAATTCTTTTGCCAATTTGGGTTCGGTCTATTATTCACTGAGTTATTAACGATTAAAGTTGATTAATCAGATAGCATGTAGCGGGAAGGACGATATGCAGGAGCGTAGCATACCATGAGACTACTCTCACTTGCTATGCATTGTCCCGATTAAAATTTTATAATTTTTCATATTAATAAATAAATATATAAATAGGATGATGCACCAAATAAATAAGTGAGCCAGAATTGGCAAAGGAACTTTTAGTTCAAAATTTCATCCTCTTTCACTCCCTGAAATATTAATTAATAGTTCTGGGACATCCTGTATATATATATATGTGTATGTGTGTGTATGCGTGTACACACATCTTTACTTTGCTTGTATATCAATTGTAACAATCTTTTCCTTTCTGTTAACATTATATAATTTTACCATATTTATTGATGCTCTTATTAAATTAAATAAATTTCTATTTTGATTTTTAAAAAGGACATGTTATACATATATGCAAGAATTATATCGTCGGATATCTATGACTTATCAACTTCATCATTTCTCATTAGAAAATGCATTATCTAGTTTATTAATTTCATAAATTATAATATAATTAAGCGAAACTTTGTTTATAGTACGAGCTTATCGAATTCAAAGACATTTGGTTGACACATTCCGAACAATACAGATGGCTCCAAGTGGATTATCAAATAGGTGTATTTATCTCGAGATCTTCGGTGAACCTGATCACCATTAATAAAATTTGGATTATGTCCGTGCTGCAGGTAATAAAAACTTCCGAAATTAGTAAATCGAACAGAAAAATACAGATTATAAGATTGAAAATTCACTGTGTTTCTTTCAGTTCTTTAACGTTATAATTTTTCTCTTCGAGACCCTTTACTATTATATACCAAATATATGGATCGTTTTTATCATTGTATTGTGGGAGGGTCTTCTTGGCGGTGCAGCATACGTGAACACATTCTATCGAATGTCGACCGAGGTAACAATGCTACTTTCTTTATTTAAGAAACAAGTTAAAATTAAGAACTATGCAAATTAAATAATACGAATCCTACAAAATATAAACAATAGTTTTTACCAATATTACAATTTCTTATATTAATTTCAGCAATATAACTGTTATTAACATGTATTGTATTATATTTATATTATTGAGTGAAAAATTAGAATAGTGATGTGATATTATTGTTATTTATATTCTGCGAAAAAAAAAAATGCGTTAAGTTTTCTGCAATTTTATGAAAAATATTATACCTCGTTATCTCGTGATATTTTTTATGGCTTAATATTAATTTGACGTGAAATCTCTTATAGATTCCGAAGACGGATCGTGAATCTTCCTTGGGAATCGCGACGATGGCAGACTCTATCGGGATTGCGTTGGCCGGATGGCTGTCCATGCCTGTTCACAATGCCATTTGTAAATTACCACAGCCGAAGCGATTAGGTAGTTAAAGATATCGTAATGGTTCGCCGAGTGATAATAAAGTTCCCTCGGAAACTTGCTTTTGAAAGTTCCTCATGGTAACATGCTGGTGATTAGAGACAAAAATGAGACGTTTCTTTTATTAATTTAATGATTATATGTAGATCAAACGTATGCAATTGTTTCACCGCGCGTTCGTAGATCATAAAATTATTAACGTCCTAATTAATCTTTTAGCTTTGTGCAAGTTTACGAATTTACGAAATTTTGAGGAAAAATTAATAAAGCAAACGTTCAGAATACAAGCGACACAGTGATGAATTTTTATAGTGTCTGCTATTTTAATATATTTTATATATATTGTTATTTATATTAGATTTTGTAAATGATATTTTTGAAATCATGACTGTGTCGCTCGTAGAAATTGCAGATTATAAGCGCCTTTTAAGCAGTTTGGATTACAATATTACAATATTACAATGTATTACAAATGTCCGAGCTTTATTTGGTACAAATTTAAAAGATTAGGAACAGGGCATATTGCAGTACATATCGCATATTAAATATACATAACATACGGCGTCGTAGCACGTAATACATGAATATTATTTGTGTTTTTACTGCGGACCAAAAAAGTTTCTTTCTTTCTTTCGGAACAACTGTATTTAGATTCTGTTGCACTATAGATCTATTCGTTTCACGATATGATGTATATAAATTTTGAGAATTGTACTGTAAATCTATATTTCTTTTATAGTATATCTAAATTTTGACTTGTACTGTAGTCTTGTTTAGTACTGATATCGTAGATATATTCTGAGATTACTATTAGTTGTTGATATTTATATTGTTACTATATTTCCGACTTACTGCGATGAAACAAGATACGCAAATATTTTTATGCGTTCTCAAGATTTCGCACCGTCGAGAATTGATCGCTTGTTGATTTGAAAATATCTCAGTATTAGTAGCTACAATAACAAATAGACCTCATCGATTAATTATTATAGAAATAATAACGCACTTGGATTACACCGTCTCTTTACTCACTCCTGCGATTAGATATAAAAATTACTAGGTTCGAACTACCACATTTCTACTTTGATATATTGATATCTATTATTTAGATTACTCTTACGTTTTTTGATTCAAAGATTGTGATTTTAAGTATTATAGACATTTAATATCGATTTTAATAAAGTGGCTGTTGCAGCCGTCAAGATAATCAATATATTTTTCTGTTTTTGTCTATATGTGTGATTGTTCCAACGATACGACTTAAAAAAGCAGTAACTTAACATGTTAGGAGTCCAATCTTCATGATATTTATAATAGCACAAATATTATAATATAAATTTTTTGTTTATAAGTTATAAATTACAAAATTAAAAAAACGAATAATCAATTTATCGTAAGTAAAATATATAGTAGTAATTGAAATATTCTGAGTGATTTAAGAAATAAGAATTAATTTAATAGCATTTTAAGCAGCTGCTTTTTTAAATTGTGTTTTCTGTCACGTTTGATAGTCCACTGATTTTTAATTTAAACAATATTTCTTCTTTATAAAAATATCTAGGTCAGCTTCTTAAACCCAGAACTACACACATATATGTATTTGCGAGATCCGACAAGAGTTAGTCGTTAACATTTTTGAGAATTTGTTTAAATACTTATTTTTTAATTTAGAAAGTTGATTAGAACTTTGATCTTCTGGCAAAAGATTTGTCGAAAAATATACGCTTTCCTAGAATTAGATACTATATATAAAAATATCCAACTGTGTTTGAGAGACTCGGTATGTAGTCTACGTATGCAAAAAAATATGTATGCAGTTCTAAGATTAATAATGCATGACTGTCGTGTGATATTTTTACAGTAATAGTATGTATATAACTAATGAATGTACGATGATATTACCTACTACTTTTACTACGTTATGATAACGTTATGATAACTTTTCTCGAGAATAACTTAAAACAAAGACAATTGCGATAATGGATATGTCTCTATTGTCTCAACGTATAAAACGAGTATTTTATGTTTACAGCAAATAAATATCTAATAAAAATAACTATCTAATAAAATAATAAAAATCTATTGTGCGATAAATCTATATTGTATCCATTTACGCTTGCTTTAACATGAAGTGATTCTTCTCTTTTAAAATACAATAATATGGAAGATTAGCACGGAGCAATTAGGAACTGTATTCTTATAAGCCGTATGTGTTATATGTCTAACACTGGCATCTAAGCGAATTGTAGATTAAACATTGCTTATTCGCAATTTATGCGTTATACAAGGTGTTTCTGATTAATCGCACTTTCTGCTAATTATAGTGCAAGGTTACGAGGAAACATTCCACATCAATCTTTTTCGTAAAAAATTATCTCTCACAAATTGCAAAAAAATCTTAGTACATTCTAACTACGTTTTTATTAATAATGCTTTAGGCGCTTCAGAAATGAGTTTGATGGTTGTTGCTCACGAGGACGGCTCATAACATATTACACCGCCGTCGCCATGTCAATTGTTACGTAATTTCTTTTAATGTTTGCGCAAAATATTTGATTAGTGTCTGTGATAAAATTAAAAATTAATGAATTCCTCTCTTTTCACATTATACCAGTATATAATAAATACCCAGATAACATAAATGAAATACGAAAAATATCGCAAGAATATCCTAATTGTCTGGAAATATTTTTTTGATTTTGTTTTTTAAAATTTTGCTTTACTTGCAGGGAAACGATTATATTAATTTAAAGCTGAAAATAAGAGCATAAAAATCAATTTACTGAAAATGAAGTATCCATTTCTTGTGCCATCTTTCCAATTTTTCCATCACTTAATTACGCGCATCTTTCCAAAATGAGTTTGCCAGATTCCTCGTACTCTTGACGCGACAGCCACATTTGCTGGAATGAGCCCAAAGAACTGAGGATCGAGCCACCGATCCAGGCACCATAACGTCGCTCGCTTGAGCTATTTGCGCTGATTATTTTCAGTCTCATACTCTGTGTGTGAATGAAAATTAAATTATTATAAATCGAGAAATTTAATAAGTACTTACTATCAATATTACAAAACGAGTTACCGGTGGGGTTTTACTGGCTAAGTCTCGATTCAATCTCTCACTGAATCCTTGAAGACAAGAATTGCCGCCGGTCACCACTACGCTGCCATATAGACTCTGTAATAAATGTCTTGTTATTTTATAAATAATAATGTACAAAATGCAAAGGAACAATTTCGCTGAAGTATCTAAAAATTTAGCTAGGTACAGATTTGAAAATAGTTTTGTTTGAATCATCAAAATAATTATGTAAGATGCTCAAATTTGTTGCTAAAATATTAATTTCTTTAGCAACGCTGTTCATCGCGCTCACGTAATTATTTTGATGGTTCAACAAAGTTCATTTTCCATCAGCAAAATTGATTTGAAATATCTTAAGAAGGTCGTACTTTAATTCAATCTAATCAAAGTAAATTTTATTCATAATATAAATTTGCGAAGGTACGTACTGGTCTTATGTCCATATCGCACATTCCGACACTCGTGGTGACCAGAGGGCCGACTCCTAAAATACTCGCACCTACACCCTTAACGTTACTAGGATCGAAAAGAGCTTCGGGTATCATAAGTCTTATAGATCCGAAGTCATCGTTGTAACCAGTCGGGAATTCATAATGCTTCATGGGTAGAGTATTTGCCATGTCTTCATCATAGGGACTATCCGATACTTGGAGACAGTTCATCTGAAAGTCCTGTAGCAACTCTCGCACCATGTAGCTCAGCCAAGACGACGATGGTTGCGGTCCCGGTCGTTTCGTCCAGCGAGGAGGATCTCTCTCTCGTACTACATCTAAAAGAAATATGAATCAATAAGCAGAAATTATATTAGAATTCTTTATAGTTTATTAAAATCTAAATTATTAACTCCGCTTAAAAATCTGCCAATATTTTATCCTGTAAGAAATAACAATAATAATTTGTATAGTTAAATGTCATTGTATGTAAATTTCTTATACATATGTATACAGGGTGACCCATTTTAACTTAGGCAGCCAAATAACTCGAAAACTAAATCCAATAGACAAAAATGTTTCAAATAAAAATGGAACGGTATCGAGGGGGACACGTTTTAGTCACGTTGTTTTTTTCCTAAGTGGAGGCGCTAAAAAGATATGAAGGTCACCTCCACTTTTTTAAATGGAATTATGTAATTTTTTATAGATAACGTGATTCCTCTAATTATTTTGCATATAAAAGTATTAAGGTAGAGATACCAAAAAACCAATAGTTTTCGAGATATTTTACACTTTATTTTGGTACATATTGACACAAAATGTTAAATAACTCGTAAACTGTTAACTTTTTGATTATCGTACCTTAATACTTTTGTGAACAGAATAATGAGATAAATCAAATGGTGTAAAGAAAACACATAGTTGCATATTTAAAAAATTATCCATTTTGTATACATATTTTTTTTAAAGCAACTATGTGTTTTCTTTACACCATTTGATTTATCTCATTATTCTGTTCACAAAAGCATTAAGGTACGATAATCAAAAAGTTAACAGTTTACGAGTTATTTAACATTTTGTGTCAATATGTACCAAAATAAAGTGTAAAATATCTCGAAAACTATTGGTTTTTTGGTATCTCTACCTTAATACTTTTATATGCAAAATAATTAGAGGAATCACGTTATCTAAAAAAAATTACATAATTCCATTTAAAAAAGTGGAGGTGACCTTCATATCTTTTCAACACCTCCACTTAGGAAAAAAACAACGTGACTAAAACGTGTCCCCCTCGACACCGTTCCATTTTTATTTGAAACATTTTTGTCTATTGGATTTAGTTTTCGAGTTATTTGGCTGCCTAAGTTAAAATGGGTCACCCTGTATATTTAGGAAAACTGCGCACTTTTTATGAAACATTATTTACCTTTGCTGGCAACAAGACTAGCCGGTATCAGTTCGATGTCTTTTTCTTCAAAGAACTGCCTACATTGCATAGTGATGAAGTCGCCACCCAAAGGACTCTTAACAATTCCTTGAGTAATAACGTAACCATCGTGAACCGGTACCGCGCTAGTATGTGTAGCACCGCTGTCTACGACCATCGCCGTAGACCTACCGTTCGCGTAAGCAGCCAACACGGCGTTCTTGCAGATGTACATAGCCGGCACGTTGAACTTCTCGAACATGAGCTCTAACAACTTCTCACGCTTCAGTCTGGTGTTCCATGGACATTCGGTCATCAGGATCGGATGATGCTCGGACAA